TGAGGTCATTTGGATGAAATGCTTAGAACAGAGAAGGCAGCTGTGTTCAATATGGACACAGTTGGGGACAAAGTTATACTTCACTTTCCAGTTCTTTGAGTGTGGCTTAACTCTAGACTTAGGAGGACCCAACTGTCCTGGCCAGATGAGGTTTAAGTGGTTATAAGGTAACAGTTGTGTGGTTCTGCTGACTGAGGAAGCCCTGCCCCCTTCTCCTGCTTGATATTCACATTTAATAGTCTCATAGTCTATAGGAAAGACAGTCTTCTAATTTTCAGCTGAATGTGTCCATCTCTAGAATTTAGCTTGCCTGATACTCACAAACAATGAGAAAAGACCATTTTCTATATATATCAGCTTATTGCATTGAGAATTGTAATTCCAGGACAGGTACATTTCTAAAGCAGCAAAGCAGCAGTTCTAAGACTTTGCTTTTGTTTCAGTTTTCACTTTTTAGAGGCTTCTTCTTTACTTTTAAAATTGAGACCACTCTTTTTTTTTGAATGAAGAAATGAAGCTCAGGCATAGCCTGTCTTACAGGGCAAAGCTGGGTTGTGGATATTGTCATTTGCAGCTTAGAACTCAAGCTCTTAACCACTAACTTATGTTGGTTCCTCAAAACCAGAATTCCAATGAGATACTTCTAGATCACACCCTGGCATTTTTCAGCTTGAGATATGATCTCTGTTTAACATCACACATTCTTAGGACTATTTTCAATGTTAGTGAGGCAACTAAGAGTCAGAGACATTGAGAGTCATATCTAAGAAATGGCAGTGCTGCCATTCCCATGCAAGTCTGTTGAACTCCAGATTCCATGTTCTTTGCCTCAGGTGAGGAAGACTTTCTTCTCAATTTCTTCTCACTGTGAGTTTTTAAATTGCCAATCTAATATCATACTTTAAATAATAGGTAATTGCTAAGTATTAAGATAAACACCAAGAGGCAAATCATAAGGATTCATGCTTGAATCCTGACTCTACCACTGACCTTGGGCAAGATACTGATCATACTGGAGCCAAGAAATGAAGATATCTTTTCAATTGCAAGTTATGTAAAGTGAAAGTCAAATAAGTGAATGGGGCAGTGCTTCATGGGGGCATAAAGCTCTGTAAAAACTAAGTGAAGTAGATTCATTTATAGAGAGGCCTTCATCTGTACTTCTGGACATGGCATGAAAAACAAAATAAAAAGTTTATAGGTTAAAGAAAGCCATCTGGTTCAAGGGTAATGATCTAGTTTACTGGAATCTTTTTAAAAGAAGTAACTGGGACAGTCTCCTAATAAATGGAGATTAATTATACGCTTTAAAAACCTCAGCAGAGGGGAAAGGATTTAGAAGTGAAGTGATGAGATAAAACCAAAAAGTATATTGGTTTTCCTAGGATCTAGAAAGTAATACTTGGGATACAGAAGAATATGTCCAAGGTCTATGGCTTTTCATCTTTTTGTGTCCTAAGATTTAGGGAAACTGCATTGTGTTTAAATGCTTTATGCTTTATTATTTCTATAACTGAAGTAATTTAAATACTTTGTTATGCTTTTCACTAAACAACTGAATCGTAAAACAGCTGAATTTTAGAAGTTACTCTTAGATCGCACAGAGGGCTAGCTGGAATACAGCTGAATGGGCTCTATAGCCAGAGTTTGGCTCAGTAGATCTGGGCAGGGGTAGGAGAGTTTGCAATTCGGACAAATCCCCAGGTGATATTGCTGCTGCTGGTCTGAGGACCATACTCCGAGAACCATGTGTTACATGAGTTCTCTCTAGCTGTGGAACACACACCAAGCTAAGTGTCCAATCTTGAAAGGCTGAATTAATTTGTTAAATTGAACTGACACACTGCACCTCATCTGTCACATAAAGATGTAAATCTTTGGGGGATTAACATTTTGCATCATATTGCTAGGGACAAAGAGGGTAGCTTTTTACCAAGAGAAAATCTTAAACCATATCTCCATTACCAAAATTTCTTCCAGGTTGAACAGTGTTTCAAAGCCAGCTTTCTAGGATTCTTACTTCCCATTTTTACGTGCTCCTTGTACTCTGTGGTTACTTGAAAATCTAAGTGGCACTACTCACACATTCCGCTTCCTGCTAACTTTACAACTTAACACTCAGCCTGCCCCATTCACTCAGAATTCTTATCAGTTTAAGGCAATTAAAAGTCACTTGCCCCTAGCTAACTTGTACTGATAGAAAAAAAATTGCCAGGCTGCTTCTATATTGAGGCAGTAAATTTTATGTTCCTGAAATTTCATAAGCTTTTGTGTTTTGCTATCCAGATGATGTAAGAACAAGTAAGGTTAGAAAATTAAGTATTGGGATTAAAACAAATTGGGGGAGGGGGCGATACAAGTAGATAGGAGGTTTTGCTTCACTCAGGAACTTCCATTTTTAGACCAGGAAGCAATTTATTCAGATTCTGCTTGCCCTAGAGAAGCAGACTTCCTTCCAGGGTAGAAGGATATGGGAAGGAGAGTAACCACGGCAACCTGCCCAGCTATGTGGGCAAGGAGAGTATGGGGCCTGCACACATTCTGAAGAATTTTTATTTCTAGCCTAGTCACTCAGTTTAGTCTGGGTGGTCCCTCCCTTCCCACTTCCTTCTGTTATAATGCTGACTTCAGGGGGGAAGAATTGCTCCTTCTCTGTAGGGAGTCTGAGAGGGTGTAGGGGGAAACTTAAATGAGACCAGTGAGGTCAGCTTGACCAAAGGAAAGTGCTGAGAACACAGAGTAACTCCCTGTCTGTTCTAGCACGAGCACAAGCAAACATGTTGGCTTTGTTAATATTAAGTGCTTGAATAATTAACCTTTTTCAGGTAGGTGAGAGGTATCCAATTTTGATAAAGAAATTTTCCATTTGCCTTTAGTTTTCACAAAGACACATAATTCAGTTGTTTGCGGGGGATAAAAACAAAAACAGACAAAGGCTTCAAAATATGATGGTTTAAAGTTTTCTAAGTATGTACTACTAGTCTCTCCAGATACAAAAACTGAAGTATGCAGAGGTTATGCAATGTGCCCAAGGCCATGTCACCTGCAGCTGGGATTTGAGCATTGGTACTTCAGAACCTGTGCGCTCAACCATTACCCAATTGTGCCAGGTGAGAGATAGCTAGCGTGCGCATGTTAGCCCTCTGTGTCCACACTTGGCATCATTTGTTCTCCTCGCCATGAATTGGCCTGTTTTCTGTCTCTAGGAAAAGACGTGGTAGCTTGCTTTCCTTCTGATTTCCATGATTAATTCAGTCATAATATATTAGCATGAGTTAGTTTTCTCTTAAATACACATCTCTGATGTGAAAACTATTTCATCTAAATGGTGATTTCGGCCAACCTCTGGGCAATTCAGTGGCACAGCTTCAACTTCAGAATTACATAGCAGCACCAGTGAGAATTTTAAAATACCACATCCTGTTGCTCAGGTGTTTCATATTGCCAATCTGGTTCCCATTCTGGTTCTGTCTGAAGGGTAGAAAACCTTATGTGTTTCCTTAGTTACCTTACCCTCCCTGGCTAGTCAGCTTTCAAACCTTTCCAGCTGGGGAAGTGTGTTCTGATGAGCATTAGGGCAACTCAAAACCCCAGGAGAGCTCAGTCTTCAGCAGCCTGTGTTTCAGCATCTCAGCTTTGTTGATACGAAAAGCAATAATTATATCCTCAAGACAAGAGAATAAGGAAGAGAAACACATGGAACCTTCAAAACCATCCAGGTAAAATATTGATGGTAGCAAACTAGGCTTATGGACATATGAGGGTAGAAACAGAAAGAAAATAGCATGCATTCACTGTACCGCCAAGAGTCCATGTCTCCACAAAGCCTCCTGCTGGCCAGGAGTCACTCGGCAAGGCAGATGTTTTCTTGCTCTCTTACTCTTCAGGTAATTGAGGCATGGTTGAGCAGGCCAATAAATAGCACCCCCAACCAGCTGGTCAGCAGTTGCCAGAGGTCCCTCTACCACCTTCCTGCCAAGAAGTACCTTAAAAGCAATACCCTTCAACCCAAACAATGCAGCTGAAATCCATTCAACCTTTGGAGCAAGACAGCAAACAGCCTAATGCACAGGAATTTGGACTTTCAGTTTAATCTAAAACTACAAAAAGTCTTGAGTAGAAATGCAAATTCTGGATTTTGTCCTTAACAAATTAGTCGAGGCTTTTAAACAAGTGTTCTCCTTCCTCACTTATATCCTCAGGTGAAGATCAGCTATGTCTAAGATCCCCAGAATGGCAAATACATATGTGTTCAAACTCAAAGTTGGGAGACATTCCTCTACCATCTATTTACCCTGGTCATACATTAAAACATAGGAGAATGTAGCTTAAGAAGAATCAGCTTCTAGGGTAGTCATTTCGATAAGAAGGGACTGATCGAGCCAGGGATGGGAAGGAGGAAGTTGTTTACAATAACAAGAAAAATAATCCAGTTGGCCTTAGGAGAAAAGTGATTAGGACTCAGGAGGAAGTGGTCCGTCCCAGAAACACAGATTGGAGAAGACTCCCAGGTCTCCGTTATGCTTTCTCTAGGAGACTCCGCTCACTGTACTCTCCATGTTGTAGGAAGTATAACATACCTAACACTTCACCAAAAAGATCCTTCCCCAAAGATAAAGAAGGGCTCAAGCCTCAAATCCTCCTGAATTCTCAAAGCAATAAACCCCCTTACAGTGTCACTGAGGCCCTTCCCTGAGAGGAGACAGGAACCTGGGGTGGGCGGGGCACCTGGTCCAGAGAAGAGCTGCCTACCCAAGGTAAGGAGCAGCATGGCAGTAAGCCGTTTGAGACCTGCAGTGCTTTCTCATCCCCAGCTAGTACCTCCTGCCCCAACAGCCAGTGGGTGCTTCAGTGCAAGAAGCCAACCTCAAGACTATAAGGAGGATCAATTATACATCTCATCAAAGCCACTCCAGGAGCCTTATCAGACATCTCAAGGCGTTTATGTTGCTGCCTCCTTTCCTCTGCCATGACTTCTGTCTGCTTTAGTTATGTCTTGCCTCCCTCTCCCCCACTCCCCTGCTTTCCCTGATTAAGGCCAGAAATTTTTTCATTAAGTCACTTTATAGAGGAATAGCAACATTTACTATTCATGAAGTCTCCCCTCCATAATTTTTAAGTCTTTCCATGTGTCTGGAAGCTTGTTTCTGCTCTTCTCGTTTTACAGACGGGCTCCCTTCCTTCCAAATACAAACTCAAAAGAAAGGGGAAAAGGTGGGGGGTGGATCGGGTAGAGATAACATCCAGATTCTTTAAGTGTTTTTAATCCAGTTAAATTTCCCTTTGGACTCAAGCAGCTCCCTGCTGAAACTGACTGCGGACCTGAATTCCAGGCTCAGAATTAAGTCAAGAGGGAAAGACAGCCGAAACAAATAACAGAGTCAGCTCTATGCTATGAAAACCGCTATGTTGACTGGGGCTCCAAGGTTTTAACCCATTCATTTTCCCCCCCTTTTCAAGAATTCTTACTTAATCTTTTTAACCAGCTTACAGCAGACAGGCAAGCACCATTTAAACCCTGCTCCCTGCTCCAGGGATTTAAAACAAGTTTGTTAAGTCCCTTGGGCAGATACTTCCTTAGGAATGCCGGTGTAAGACAAAGTTCACATTTTAATGCCATATGTTGTCAGTCACCAGGAAAAAGCTTCTCACAAACCAGGTCCCCAGGCTTTGTCACACGGCAAAAATAAACACCCTTTGAGGAGTTAATTAGGCGGTCAGCAGCCACAGCAGCGTCCTCCCAGGGCTGCCCTCAGACTTTTTAAACACGACACACACACACACACACACACACACACACACACACACACACACACACACGGAGGCGCTTGTTAAATGTCACAAGCTGGGCATCTGGAGTCCCCAAAGGTAAAACGCATTCCGTGGGAGCATTCCTCAGATGGCAGGCCACAACACCTCGTTTCCCCAAGGACACGGTCTCATTTCGAAGATTCTCCACCGCCCGAGGTCTGTGCCCGAAGAAAGGTAGCGGGGGTGCTGGTGGTGTGGGGGGCGCAAAAGAGAGAAGGAGATCGCAAAGAATGGAGCCAGAGAGAAGCAGGGTCTGAAAGCTACTCACGGGCTAGCAGCGCGTCTGCGAAGCCAGCATGACGTCCCCGCGCCCGGAGCGTCCAGGCAGCCTCGCAGGCGACACGGCGGGCCCCGCTTAAATAGCCGCCGGCCGGGAGCCTCGGAACCGCGCGGCCACTCCCGACGAGAGATATGGTTCTAATCAGATGCTGGCAGCTGAGGACTCCCCAGGAATGTGCCGGGATGTTTTTGCTGCCTGGGCTTGGTAACTCCCCCTCAACGTGTCTGCTGAGTCTTCCAAACTTAACTGTTTATTACCTAGCGCCGCCGCCGCGCAGAGGACCCGGCGCCCCAGGTCTCCGCGGGCCCCGCCAGCTGGGGGCGGTCGCAGGGAGCCCAGCGACGCGGCGGAGACGCGTCTGAGAGCGAAGTCAGAAGCCCCCGACCGACGCGGGCGGGGCCGGGGGCCGGGGGGAGGGTGCAAATAAGGACAGGAAGGGGAAACTCGGGAGGCAAGGGGTGGGACCCGCCAAGCTGCACTTCGCAAATCCGTTCCCTGGATTGCCACTTTGAGTGATGTGGCACGCGAAGTCATCCCAGCCCGTTGGGGCCCTTCGGACAAAGGGCTGACTTGACTCCTGACTTTCCTGCTGGGAGCCGTGGGTCCTAGCTCAGATCTGCTGTGTCTCAAGTTGCACGTGCGGTTGCCTCCTTTAAGGAAGTGAGTGTCTCTTGCATTTGCAGACTTGGATGCCCTTCAATTGCGGAGATCTATTGGTGTATATGTAAAACATACTCTATTTATATATAAAATATAATCCTGTATATACAGATATAAAAACAACATTCTGTCTGTGAAATCGATATAAACAAAACAAGTTCACGTCGATATAACCTATCCAAATAAGCTATATTTCTGATATAAACAGAGCTTACATATATGTTGGCTTCCTTTAGTGGCTACACATCCACATGTCGACACATAAAAGGACTTTATCGGCACTAATTTGCATAGCATTTTTCCATACCTCTGTGAAAAACATGAGCAGTAAGAAAATATTTAAAAGTATTGACATCCAGTACTCAGCAGTAGAAGGCACTCCATAGAGTATGTTCATGAACTTTAACAAGCTGGGAAGTCATTTTCTCCAGATTTTCAAATCAGGAACAATTGTAAAACATCCGCAGAAGCTCCTTGAAAAAGTTGCTCTTTTAAGAATTATGAAATTATTCTCGTGAAAGTCATGTCTCCTTTGTTTTCTTGTTCCTTTTCTTTTAAGTCGGAGCAACTTGTAGTAAACGAGAAAATGCCAATTATATCCTGGATGGGAGGGGGTTATTGATTTTACTGAGTAAGCAATACAGCGGATTTGCATTTTACCTCTGGAAACCGAGGGTTCAAATCGGGCTCGTGGGACCCCAAGGATGTATTTTGTGGTCCACGCCTAGCCCCGATTGCAAAGCCACTGTGTAATTTGGGGGTGGCTCAATGTGAGTGACAGTGTCTACTTTCAAGTAGGTCAGGCTTGGAACAGTCACTGTGCAGGCGGGACTGAGGGTGCAGAGCAGCCCAGCTGGCCAAGAAGTCTGCTCCCCTGGCTTCTAATATTTCTCATCGTCAGACACCGAGGCGTGTGGAAGTGGGGAGGGTGGTGATGACAGTTTTCAATATTTCTCTGAGGTAATTTGCTATTATTGTTTTTAAAAGACTTCATGTGAATGACAAGAGGTGTATAAATTTGAGTCCTAGAATGGTATTTTTTGCAGAGAGCTTTAACTCTGGTATGTTATAAGGGTTTTATTTCTAAAATTTAGAAGTCCAAAGGGATGGTTTCATTTCTAAAGTAGCTGGGAAAAGGGCCACTGATTTCAGGCAAATGAGGTTTTGACAATTTTAAAGAAATGGGTCTGTCTTTCAACCTCAGTATGTAATATTTTCTCAACTCAGAAATGCCCACCCAAGCCTATTTTTTAAATTGGAAGATGCTTACCAAGAAAGTTAAATTATGTTTTCTCTACCCCACCAAATGGAAGGAATTGTCTAAGAAGCCAGAGGAAGAAAATGATTTCATCTGCTATGAGCTGCAGTTTCAAGGAAGATTTTAGAAGCAGTTCATTTATGAGCAGTGGGCTCACACATGCAACTTAAAATGGATACTTCTTGTTTTACCCAGAAATCTGAAGAGTCCACAGTGGAGAGTTCTGGTTTGATGTGTATTTTTATACCTCTAGGCCACTGATATTGCTTCTGGCAGTAATTCAATATCCTGCTCACATTAAGAAAAAAAAAAGAATGAAAATAAATTTAACTCTTTTTATCCCTGGTGAAACATTTCTTTGTAACGTCTAAGTTGTTCATTTTTCAGTAGGTCTAAAATGATCATCCTTGCTTCCTTGCCTCTGGAGCCCACCCCAGACACTCACCCTACTTAAACTGTGATATATTCTTATCACCACTGAAATTCATGTTTAGAAACTTGAGGTGAGGAAAATTCAATGCAATGTTTGAAAAATTATGGTCCTTGAATGACAGTTGTCCCTTGAATAAAACCTGCCTGGGAGGGATAAGGAAAAAATAAAGTAAAACAAACGACTGTGCTCTCAGCCTAGGAAAGGGGTAGTTAATCCCGTGATGGCTTGCTGAAGAATGCATGGTTTATTATTAAAGTAATCTCTTAAGATTTTCCTGGAATGTGCTTCCACAGCAACTCTGCCTGTTTGAGCTATCCTATGTGTGTGTCTTTTCTCCCATAATTAAGCTGTTTTCCCCTTTTAACTCACAGACCTAATACTTTCTCTCTTCTTTCTCTACTTCTTCTATCCCGTTCTTTCCTGTTGTTGTCTTCTTTAAACTTCCTGTTTTGAATTCTGCCATTTTTCATTAATCATAAATGGAACTTTGGAATTGGCCATAAGGCAAACAGTACAGCTTGATGGCTTCCTGGACACTTAGGGATGTTCAAATCAAACAAGGATTGGTTGAAGTGAATCTAGAAAGGCCTTATTTAACTCTTTTTATTCCTCCTCCATGTTGTTTTTATATTTAAAAAGAAGACAATGACTATTATTCCCAGAAAATGTCCATTGACGTTGACTGCTCCTATATATTGAACATTGCAGAAAGCTGACCCTATCAGATTTGGCTTCTGCTTTTTCATATTTCTGTCTGTCTATCTAATCTAAAGTATCTGAAGGGTAGTTTCATTTGTTTTATTTTCTTACTTTCAATTGCTTTCTTGACTACAACCCTGCAACATCTCAGAACTCAATACATATTTTTTTTGTTTTGTACAATATTAGTGAAACTCAGACAGTAAAGCACAAGAGAACTTGAAAAAATTGAACCATTTAAAAATGAAAAACACTTAAAATTCAATATTATACCGTTATATAACTAATTACACTTTGCTTACCAATGTAAGAATTGATAATGCCAAATTGTTAAGGGCAAAAAACACTCGTGTGGATTGCCACTCAGATAAATATTGTCTTATTTGGAAAGAAAGCTGGCAAGAATGATCAAAAACAACAATATATAAAAATACATATAAACTTACAATACTAATATGAGTTGTCATTATATAAAACACATACAGTTCTTTATCCCACCAGTAAGAATCTGTCCTCTAAAAATAAAGCATATGTATAAAATACAAGAATGTTAATTGCTGTATTTTTCATAGCAGCTGGAACCTGGAAACCAAGTATGCTTATCAATGGGGAATGACCGAATAGGTTATGGCTCTCCCTCACTGTGAAGTCATATGCAACCATTGAAAAGAATAAATTGAGCCGGGCTCGGTGGCTCAGCCTGTAATCCCACGCCTTTGGGAGGCTGAGGTGAGTGGATTGCCTGAGCTCGCGGGTTCGAGACCCTCCTGGGCAGCAGGACCTCATCTCTACAATAAATCAAAAAATCAGCCGTGAGTGGTAGTGTGTGCCTGTAATTCCGGCTACTCGGAAGGCTGAGGCGGAAGGACCACCGGAGCCCAGCAGGCGAGGCTGCGGTGGCCAGGAGCAGCCACTGCACTCCAGTCTCGGCGACCGAGTGTGACTCCAACTCAAAAAAAAAAGAAAAGAAAAGAATAAATTGGAGTCAAATCAGGTAATATGGGAGTGATTCTATAGGTTTTATTGAGTGAGAATAGCAAGACACAGAAAAGAATGTAAAATAAGTTTCTATTTTAGTGATACAAAAAGCAATATCTATTCCTATATGTTTGAGAATATATGTTTGTGTGTGTATTCATGGGATAATAAGGGAGACTAGAGACTGGGTTTCAGTATGGATTATTAGGGAACTGGTGGAGACAAAGACAGAGAAATGGGGTGGGAGTCATGCAAAAAGGGAAAAGAAATGAAAATAACTTGTATACAGATGTAGATATACATCACATTTATGCTTCAAAGTGATGCATAAGAGAAATGATATATGCACATTAATGGTTTTAAGATGAGGAGAGAGAAGAGATGTAAAAGAAATCTCTCAAAATAGCTTTCATGGAGGTCTACCTGTGTGTCTTTCAAAAGTGAGTATTCATCAGCATTCTGAATGCTTGTTTCAGCCTCTAGAATAATAGTTCTCACATTTTAAAGTTCATAACAGCCATCCTGGAAGCTGACTGCAAGGGCAAATTCCTGGGCCCAGCCTCAGAGAACCCTGAGGAAATGTGTGTGTGTGTGTGTGTGTGTGTGTGTGTGTGTGTGTGTGTGTGTGTTGGGGGGAAGGGAAGGGTTACTAGGGATCTATGTGTTTAATTTGCATTTCTGGGTAAATCTGCTGCCATGTTCTCAGTGACACACTTTGAAGAACACTGCATATCTCCTGAGGCCAAGAGGCTACTCATTTTGTTCTCCTGTATGGGATAAGAACTATGCAGAGAGATTAAGACAGGGATTCACTCATAATCAAAGCCACAAGTTTGAGAGACAGGGGCCGCAAGTGGTCAACCACCAGCTTGGCTCCCTGAAACCTCAGACATGATCCGGGCTCTAGTGGTGTCTTCCCCTCCCTGCCCACTCCCCCATCAAAGCTTGTTTCAAAGATCTGATAGCAGTCATTTGCATTGAAATATACCCAGATATTTGCATTTTCACTCCTATCTCTAACTGTAGAATAAAAAGGCACTTCTAAATGTTTAAGAGATCTCAGGCATCTCTGCAAGAGGAGGGGCAGATTTTTTCCCTTGTTTTTTGGGTTTTTTGTTTGTTTGTTTGTTTTTTGAGTTGGAGTCTCACTCTGTCACCCAGACTGGAGTGCAGTGGCACGTTCTGGGCCACCGCAGCCTCAACCTGCTGGGCTTAGGCGATCCTTCCGCCTCAGCCTTCCAAGTAGCTGGAACTACAGGCGCATGCTACCACATCTGGCTAATTTTTTTTTTTTTTTTTTAATTGTAGAGATGAGGCCTCGCCAAGTTGCCCAGGCGGATCTGGCAATTCACTCAGCTTGGCCTCCCAAAGCACGGGATTACAGGCTGAGCCA